GTTGAAAATTCTTTGTTAAGCTCTATACCCCATTTTTTAATAGGGTAATTTGGTTGTCTGGAGTCTAATTTCTTGAGTTCTTTGTATATATTGGATATTAGCCCTCTATCAGATGAAGGATTGGTAAAGATCTTTTCCCAATTTGTTGGTTGTCGTTTTGTCCTATTGACAGTGTCCTTTGCCTTACAGAAACTTTGCAATTTTATGAAGTCCCATTTGTCAATTCTCGATCTTAGAGCATATGCCATTGGAGTTCTGTTCAGGAACTTTTCCCCTGTGCCCAAGTGTTCGAGGGTCTTCCCCACCTTCTCTTCTATTAGTTTCAGTGTATCTGGTTTTATGTGGAGGTCCTTTATCCACTTAGACTTGAGCTTTGTACAAGGAGATAAGAATGGATCAATTTTCATTCTTCTACATGTTGTCCTCCAGTTGAACCAGCACCATTTGTTGAAAATGCTGTCCTTTTTCCACTGGACAGTTTTAGCTCCTTTGTCAAAGATCAAGTGACCATAGGAGTGTGTGTTCATTTCTGGGTCTTCAATTCTATTCCATTGATCTTCCTGCCTGTCTCTGTACCAATACCAGGTAGTTTTTATCACTATTGCTCTGTAGTACAGCTTGAGGTCAGGAATGGTGATTCCTCCAGAAGTTCTTTTATTGTTGAGAATAGTTTTCGCTATCCTGGGTTTTTTGTTATTCCATATGAATTTGAGAATTTCCTTTTCTAACTCTGTGAAGAATTGAGTTGGGATTTTAATGGGGATTGCATTGAATCTGTAGATTGCTTTTGGCAAGATGGCCATTTTTATTATATTAATCCTGCCAATCCATGAGCATGGGAGATCTTTCCATCTTCTGAGATCTTCTTCAATTTCTTTCTTCAGAGACTTGAAGTTCTTGTCATACAGGTCTTTCACTTGCTTGGTTAGATTCACACCAAGGTATTTTATATTATTTGCAACTATTGTGAAGGGTGTCATTTCCCTAATTTCTTTTTCAGTCTGTTTATCTTTCATGTAGAGGAAGGCTACTGATTTGTTTGAGTTGATTTTATAACCAGCCACTTTGCTGAAGTTGTTTATCAGGTTTAGGAGTTCTCTGGTGGAAGTTTGGGGGTCACTTAAGTATACTATCATATCATCTGCAAATAGCGATATTTTGACTTCTTCCTTTCCTATTTGTATCCCTTTGACTTCTTTTTGCTGTCTAATTGCTCTGGCTAAGACTTCCAGTACTATATTGAATAGGTAGGGGGAGAGTGGGCAACCTTGTCTAGTCCCTGATCTTAGTGGGATTGCTTCAAGTTTCTCTCCATTTAGCTTGATGTTGGCTACTGGTTTGCTGTAAATTGCTTTTACTATGTTTAGGTAGGGGCCTTGAATTCCTGATCTTTCCAAGACTTTTATCATGAAGGGATGTTGAATTTTGTCAAATGCTTTCTCAGCATCTAGTGAGATGATCATGTGGTTTTTTTCTTTAAGTTTGTTTATATAGTGGATTACATTGATGGATTTCCGAATATTGAACCATCCTTGCATTCCTGGGATAAAACCTACTTGATCATGATGGATGATTGTTTTGATGTGGTCTTGGATTCGGTTTGCTAGAATTTTATTGAGTATTTTTGCATCGATGTTCATAAGGGAGATTGGTCTGAAGTTCTCTTTCTTTGTCGGGTCCTTGTGGGGTTTGGGTATGAGTGTAATTGTAGCTTCATAGAACGAATTGGGTAGTGTTCCTTCTGTCTCTATTTTGTGGCATAGTTTGAAGAGAATTGGTATTAGGTCTTCCTTGAAGGTCTGATAGAATTCAGCACTAAAACCATCTGGTCCTGGGCTTTTTTTAGTGGGGAGGCTTTTGATGACTGCTGCTATTTCCTGAGGGGTTATGGGACTATTTAGATGGTTTATCTGCTCCTGGTTTAACTTCGGTACCTGGTATCTGTCTAGGAAATTGTCCATTTCATCCAGGTTTTCCAGTTTTGTTGAGTATAGGCCTTTGTAGTAGGATCTGATGATTTTTTTAATTTCTTCCGTTTCTGTTGTTATGTCTCCCTTTTCAGTTCTGATTTTATTAATTTGGATACTGTCTCTGTGCCCTCTGGTTAATCTGGCTAAGGGTTTATCTATCTTTTTGATTTTCTCAAAGAACCAACTCCTGGTTTTATTGATATTTTGTATTGTTCTTTCTGTTTCTATTTGGTTGATTTCAGCCCTGAGTTTGATTATTTCCTGCCTTCTACTCCTCCTGGGTGTATTTGCTTCTTTTTGTTCTAGAGCTTTTAGTTGTGCAGTCAACTTGTTAGTGTGTGCTCTTTCCAGTTTCTTTTTGTAGGCACTTAGAGCTATGAGCTTTCCTCTTAGCACTGCCTTCATGGAGTCCCACAAGTTTTGGTATGATGTGTCCTCATTTTCATTGAATTCTAAAAAGTCTTTTCTTTCTTTATTTCTTCCTTGACCAAGTCATCATTGAGTAGAGAGTTGTTCAGTTTCCATGTGTACGTGGGTTTTCCATTGTTTTTGTCATTATTAAAGACCAGTCTTAGTCCGTGGTGATCTGATAAGATGCAAGGGATTATTTCAATCTTTTTGTATCTGTAGAGGCTTGTTTTGTGACCAATTATATGGTCTATTTTGGAGAAGGTACCATGAGGTGCTGAGAAAAAGGTATATTCTTTTGTTTTAGGATGAAATGTTCTATAGATGTCTGTTAAGTCCATTTGGTTCATAACTTCTGTTAATTTCAAAGTGTCTCTGTTTAGTTTCTGTTTCCATGATCTGTCCATTGCTGACAGTGGGGTGTTGAAATCCCCCACTATTATTGTGTGAGGTGTAATGTGTGTTTTGAGCTTTAGTAAAGTTTCTTTTATGTATGTAGGTGCCCTTGCATTTGGAGCATAGATGTTCAGAATTGAGAGTTCACCTTGGTAGATTTTTCCTTTGATGAGTATGAAGTGTCCTTCCTTATCTTTTTTGATTAATTTTGGATGAAAGTCGATTTTATTTGATATTAGAATGGCTACTCCAGCTTGTTTCTTGGGACCATTGGCTTGAAAAATTGTTTTCCACCCTTTTATTCTGAGGTAGTGTCTGTCTTTGTCACTGAGGTGCGTTTCTTGTATGCAGCAAAATTCTGGGTCTTGTTTGTGTATCCAGTCTGATAGTCTGCGTCTTTTTATTGGGGAATTGAGACCATTGATGTTAAGAGATATTAAGGAAAAATGATTGTTGCTTCCTGTTATTTTTGTTATTAGAGGTAAAGTTATGTTTGTATCTTTTTTGGGGGTTGTTGGAAGATTACTTACTTGCTTTTCCTAGGTTGTAGTTTCCCTCCTTGTGTTGGCATTTTCCATCAATTATCCTTTGAAGTGCTGGGTTTGTGGGAAGATATTGTGCAAATTTGGTTTTGTCATGGAATATCTTGGTTTCACCATCTATAGTGATTGAGAGTTTTGCTGGGTATAGTAATCTGGGCTGGCAATTGTGTTCTCTTAGGGTCTGTATGATGTCCGTCCAGGCTCTTCTGGCTTTTATAGTCTCTGGTGAGAAGTCTGGTGTAATTCTTATAGGTCTGCCTTTATATGTTACTTGACCTTTTTCCCTTACTGCTTTTAGTATTTTTTCTTTGTTTTGTGCATCTGATGTTTTGATTATTATGTGACGGGAGGTATTTCTTTTCTGGTCTAGTCTATTTGGTGTTCTGTAGGCTTCTTGTATGTTTATGGGCATCTTGTTCTTTAGGTTAGGGAAGTTTTCCTCAATAATTTTGTTGAAGATATTTACTGGCCCTTTAAGTTGGGAATCTTCATTCTCTTCTATACCTATTATCCTTAGGTTTGGTCTTCTCATTGTGTCCTGGATTTCCTGGATGTTTTGAGTTAGGAGTTTTTTGCATTTTGCATTTTCCTTGACAACTGTGTCAATATTTTCCACCGTATCTTCTGCATTTGAGATTCTCTCTTCTATCTCTTGTATTCGGTTGGTGATGCTTGCGTCTGTGACTCCTGATCTCTTTCTTAGGTTTTCTATCTCCATGGTTGTCTCCCTTTGAGCTTTCTTTATTGTTTCTATTTCTAGTTTCAGATCCTGAATGTTTTTGTTTAATTCCTTCTTTGTGTTTTCTTCCATTTCTTTAAGGGATTTCTGTGATTCCTCTTTAAGGGCTTCTATCTGTTTACTTGTACTCTCCTGTATTTCTTTAAGGGAGTTACTTAATTCCTTCTTATAATCCTCTATCATCATCATGAGAAGTGATTTTAATTCTGAATCCTGCTTTTCAGGTGTGATGGGGTGTTCAGGGCTTGCTATATTGGGAGAATTGGGCACTGATGATGCCAAGAAACTTTGGTTTCCGTTGCTTATGTTCTTGCGCTTGCCTTTCGCCATCTGGTTAACTCTAGTGGTACCTGCCCTCACTGTGTAGAACTGGAGTCTGTATTTCCAGTTATCTTGCTTATTGCAGAGCTCCTCAGAGTCCAGAGGTCTCTGTGGTCTTATGCTCCTAATCTCCTGGGTGGAATAACTCCTGGGACTCAGGCCACCTCTTGGATCTGGAAATCCTCCTGCTCTGAGTGCAGTGGGTCCTCGATGACTCAGGATTCAGTTTCACTTGCTCTGAGTGCAGTGGCTCCAGCTGCTCTGAGTGCAGTGGCTCCTGGATGACTCAGGATTCAGTTTCTCAACAGGACAGGAGCAGACCGACTCTGTGTCAGCTGCTCTGAGTGCAGTGGCTCCTGGATGACTCAGGATTCAGTTTCTCCACAGGACAGGAGCAGACCAACTCTGTGTCTGCTCCAGCCCAGAGGACCAGGCAGGGGCAGAAGGGAAGTGGAATTCCGGAGGGGCGGGGTTTGGGTAGCTGCTGTGCCCTGGATGTCCCTGGCTCCCCGATCTATCTCTGGGGTTTAGGGAGTGAGATGGAGTTCTTACCAGCTGCTCTGAGTGCAGTGGCTCCTGGATGACTCAGGATTCAGTTTCTCAACAGGACGGGAGCAGACCGACTCTGTGTCTGCTCCAGCCCAGAGGCGGGAGAATTATTTAAAAGCACTAGTCTTGGTAGTAGGGAGCTAGGGCTTCACTCTTGGACTTGCTTCCCACTTACTTAGTGACACTGTGTGAGCTAATTCTATGTTCTGCCCCTCGGTTCCTATGTGTTCCACAGAGGGAGGGCTTGGTGAGACTAAACTGAGGTGAATGTAAAAATAGAAGTGCTTATCAAGAATACAACCAGGAATGCAGGCCCTGCATAATAGACAAAGTTGAAGCAATACAATGCTCTCCAATAATGATCTCCTGAGTCGCTGAAGTTAAGAAGACATTTCCTGAAATAAGTCAGTGTGTGCCTCTAGGAAATAAGTAGATTACTACATTTTTATTTAGGGTTGTGTGTGTGTGTGTGTGTGTGTGTATGTATGTATGTGCTCATACCAGGGCAGATATGTGGAGGTCAGAGGACAACCTGTCAGTCAGTTTCTCCTTCCACCATGCTCGTCCTGGGGATTGAGCTCAGGCTATTAAGCTTGGCAGCAGGTGCCTTGAGCCTGAGCCACCTTGCTGGTACAAGTTAAGTCATTGAAATACATCAGGGCAAACATCATCATAGTAACACATAAGCTGCGAGAATCAACCGCTCTATGAACTGCAAATACCCACTGGATTCAGGATTATAGCCTAGGACCTGTATGCACAGCACAGATGAAGTGCACCCGCTACAGTAAGTACTGCACAAACAAGCACACATCATGGCTCGGTTATTGTTTAAGCTTGTGGGACTACTTCAGACCAAAAAATGCACCTCATTTAACTGGAGTGAAAGAGCTGCGCCTGCCTCAGCTCCCGATTATAGCATTTGCCAATGGGATTGGAACATTGCTCAATTGACGGCATTCCTCAAATGCAGCTGATCATCAAACTGAGGGAAATATGGACAGGCTTAAATCTGCGGGAGGAACACTGTCTTGACTGGAGTGCAGGGACTGGCTGGCCTTCCTACAGAATTCCCACCAACTTCCTCACCTCCTCGAACACAGGAGAGGCCAATTCTTTGGCTTTTGTAGATCCAACAAGCAAAACCTTTCTTAAATGGTCCTTATCCATTTTCAGTTTCTCAATCTCCCTCCTGATTGGAGCAAATTTCTCAATCACAGCCTCGGCCACTAGCAGCTTGTATCGAGCAGTGTCCATGCCTGCACTACTGCGGACCACCTCCTCCACCGAAAGGCCAGACACGGCCGCATGGATTGCCACCATGTTGGAGACACCAGCTCTGCTGTCCGGCTCATAGGTAACCTCTGACGTGAAGTCCGTCACAGCCTTGCGGAATTTCTGTACGATCTCCTCTGGGCTGTCTGTTATTTGAACAGTGGCCAGTTTGTCAGGGTCCGATTTTGACATCTTGGCAGAAGGGTCACGAAGAGATTTCACTTTCTTCATAGATGCTAGTGAAAACAAGGCAAGTCACTGAGAACCTTACAGTCTAGACCTTGAAAACACCAACCCCACCAGAGATACTGATAGCCCAATAGCATGCCTTCATCTTGAAGAATTTGTGCAATTTATCAACTATGGAAGTAAAAACATCAGAAACCAATCTTGTTAGTGTGACATCCACAGCATGTATCAGCAGCGATTCATTCAGTGTATAAATGACACAGAAGAGACTGTGTTGCTTCTACTGCTTATGCTGTGCACACCTGAGGGGTCCACAGATGCAACCCAGGTCACAAGCCTTGCAAGGCATGTGCCTTTATCCTCTGAGCCATCTCTCTGGCTCTGGGTACACTTGATTTTTAAACATTATTTTGTCTGTGGGTATATGCACAGCTATGCATGTGCTATGGCAAGTTTGAGGCCAGAGAACAAATTTAGGGAACTGGATTTGAGGTAAGGTATCTCTTGTTCATCCTGCCATTATGTAGCTGGCTATTCTCCTGTCTCCACCTCCCACCTCACTGTAGGAATTCTGCAACTTTAACCATCTGTGGCAATCCTTCCATGTCTCTACACAGAAATATAAACTTACAGACATACCTGCACATACATACACACGGTGATATGCAGACACACACACACACACAGACATAGTGATACACTGATACACACACACACACACACACACACACACACGGGGGGGGGGTTGCTTCATAAACAAGTGTTCTTGATAACTGCTTAGTTTATGGCTATTAGAGATGAAACTGAGGTAGACTAAATAGCCATAGATGGAACACTGGCATTTTACTTATTGCTATGAAGGAGGCTGACTTCAATGCACGGGGCACTCTAGCAGAGCTGGGGCTGCCATTTCAGATGCAGAGGGTAAACTCTGCCCATCTCTCCTGTCTTTCAGACAGCAGTGTGAGGATCATCATCATCTCTCTCTCATTCTGTGAGGATTACGCTGAGGATCATGCTGTGTGATTATGTGAGGAAAGCTCTCGTTTTCCTGACATTTGTCTGACTGGGAATGTTGAGAAGGGCGAGGAGCACCAGCTTTGGGATGAGAAGAGCTGACAGGGCTCAGGTTCGATATCAACTAGTCACCTAGACACATGACGTGGACACAACCTTGCTGAGCCTTGGTCTGTGTGTAAAACTATGTGTAATTTGCTCTATCAAATAAAAATGTTATTTCATACATACAATCTGTTGACATGTATCTAAGAAATTAAAATTATGATTTTTTAAAAAGTTTCTCTCACATTTTCACAAATTTCAAAGATTTATTTATTTTATGTACGTGAGTGCTCTATCTGCATGTACACTTGCATGTGAGAAGAGGGCATCAGGTCCCATTACAGATGGTTGTGAGCCACCATGTGGTTGCTGGGAATTGAACTTAGGACCTCTGGAAGAGTAGCTAGTGCTCTTTACTGCTGAGCTATCTCTCTCCAGTCCTCACATTTTATTTTTAATGTTTTCTAGACTCCAGTATCATTGCCTAGTCCCACATGAACAATAAAGATTCCAGTTACAGAGCCTGAAGCCTGTCAGTGAGAAAGCCACACTGAGTGTCAGTGAAATTCCAGGTCTCTAGTCTACTGCTCAGTATGTACCCGGCAATCATGCTCATCTGGTTGCTACTTACTGAGAATGGACTTGGGCAACGGGAAGAACTCCCCATACTTTTGGTTGAAACTTCGAGCTAGATCCTGAACTAGTTCCATGTGCTGGACTTGATCTTCCCCGACAGGAACGTGTGTGGACCTTTTAATAAAACACAGAAAGAAAGACTCAGCGAGGCTCTTTAGCTGGAAATGATATTGCAAGCAGCTGCATTGCCTGTGCCTACTTCACTGTTGGTGTTCAACAAATGTTCGCCAACTACAGAGAGAACACTGAGGCCCAAGTCTTTATCTGTGTGCTGAAGGCATGTTTGTCTACTCTGGTTCTGTTTCTTCCATCTCGAAAGACTAGAGCCATCAACACCAGCATGACGGGACCTTGCGGGAGGGAGCCATGGCATCTTCAAAAGCACATGTTCTGTACATAATTGTGTCTAAAAGCCACTCTTCATCCCTCACCCAGTTAGCAGATTACTCCAGCCTAGACCAGATGCCTCTACCTCGGAGCTCACACTTGAAAGACACCCCACCCATTCTTCAAATTAGAGACGGCAGACAGCTCTTCCAGCCAGAGGTTTTCCTCTCCACCAAACGAGGCATGATTCTTGATCTTTCTACAATATGCGTCTTCATTTTCAAGTCTTTGTAACTGGAGGACAGTTAACATGCTGTGTGGAAGTCAAATGAAAATCTCACCATACACTGTAGTTACTTCTTAAAATGTACAGTGAAGAAAGCAAATTGCAGAGCTTGTGAAGGGCACACTGATGTTTACATAAATTATGAAAGTTATGTTCAGGTGCCACATGTTTTTAGGACGCACAGATGTGGGATGACTCTGGAAACATTGATGAAGGTCCTGAGTTAAACCCTCAGGACTAAAAGATGGACAAAAATAACGATCATAATGATAATGATAGTGATAATGAGAGAAATAAAGAAAATTGAGACATACCCAAACCAGCTTTGTTAACTGTTCTTAGAGATGAGAGGGAAATGATTTTAAGAAAAGGAACAAAGACTTGAATGTTATCTTTTTTTTTTTTTTTTTTTTTTTTTAAAGAAATGAGGACGGGGAAAAACAAACCACTCAGAACGTAAGAGAAACAATTTATGATGATGTCACTCCCGTATATGCAGTTCAAAGTGTGGGAGCCTGAGGAGGAACTCGGGAAATGTGACTGTGTGTGCAGACAGGTGATTTCAATGTTTAATGCATGGCTGTGGGGTTAGGTTTGATAGCACAGCTACAGCTTCTGATCAAGGAAGTTTAATTTGGAAGAAGCAGTGAGTGACTATCTAGAGTTTCTCCTTCTTCCCAAGCCCTCATTTCCTTTGCAAACTTTGATAATGAAGGTATCATCCATCTGGCTGGTTTCTAGGGTTATCAAGTGTTTCCTGAGGTAAGAGTTCAATACATGGAGGCAACTGACACGACAATCACTCACTAATGTTTGATACATTAAGGGACAGAATGGTAAGAGAGAGCCATAGATGGCCTTATGGGAGGCTCGTGGACTTTCTTAATTAACAGTATCTTCATTTTAATCGCCAACTCACCCTGAAAAACAGAAATACCAATCTTCAACCCCACATACTGTCACAGACCCAGTGGCAACCCAGATTTGTGTAAAAAACATACGTGAAACTGATGGGTAGCCCCCACACATAAACCATTTTATAGGAATTCTGGGAAGTCTGACATAAGAAAAACAGAACAGTGAGTGTAAGGGTGAAGGTGTGGCCAAGGGTGTGGACCTGGACCTGAGGTCAGCAAGGTGGTGCTGGGAAGCGTAGAGGGCCCAGGAGGGCTAAGGCTGGAGCAGGCCAGTGTCGGTTGTGAGCGGTCAAAAGGCATGGTCACTCTGTACCTTCTGATCAGGACAGGCTGCTGGGGCTCCTCTCTGGGGTACACAAGCACATGCCCACTCTTGTCAATTTCTTTTTGACTGGTCTTTGCTACTCTTACGACATGGTAATTACAGTGAGACCCATATGCAGAGGTCACTTTGACTCTCCCAGACCAAATTAGCCAACAGAGGAGGTTAAAAAGCAATTACAGTAGCTCATCGGAAATCACAATGGACGGCAACTAACACAGAAAAAACAATTACCATAATCAATACACTTTAAGCACATCAAAATGAATATTTCCACATGTCAAAATGGTTCCAGATTCCCAAAGCCACCCACTAAACAAAAAACACATTTAGTTTTCACAATGACGCTGTGTGCGACTTGCTTCTTGTTGGATCCTTGACGCTTTTCTTACAAATCTGTGGGGTTTTGATTTTTTTATAAGAGGATTAAAACCATTTTAATTTTTTTCACCTGGCCCCACTGCTCCACGTGGTGCCTGCATCTGCGTTTGGTTTGTTTGTTTCTGGTCCCTCCTCCTGCCGCTTCCACCTCCTGTAATTTATCTTGGCCTTTGCTTCGCGCCGTGGAGTTCACACTTTACTCTCTTCAGCCTGTCTTTGATTCCACTCACTTACGGGGCTTATTCTCTTCACGTTTCCAACCTCTTTCCCCATAGTCTGCCTTTCACTTCAAATAATTTAGGGTTGCCCTCTCAAAATTTATATCCGACATAATGATATCCATATTAATACTCCCACTCTCTCTCCCTCCCTTTTATTCCCTCTCACCCTGGCTGTGCTTTCTCAGACACAACATAAAACAAAGTCTTTCATAATTTTGATTGTTATAACTTCTGTCACATAATAATGCCTCTGATCTTCTTCTTTGGTGACTGAGCGGTTTTTCTTCGATCCTGACTGTCTGAAGTTTCCTTGGGTTCCATCCCACCCCTTTGGCAGCATTAGTGTCCAGATGAATGATCATTGTCTGAGTGGATATTGCTTTCCCTGACTTGCTTGGCTGTGCCTGTGGGTTTTCAGAACTGCAGCCTTCACTCGGCAGGCTGGGAAAGGGGCTTGGAGCCGTGTTTCCTGTCACAAAGGGCTGGTTCCTCTTTACTGATTACTTACTAAACATGACTCTCCCTCCCAGTAATTCCTTATTAGATATGAATATTCATTACATATGGAGTGAGACCGTGGCTTCTGACTGGTCTTCTCCTCGGGCTGCCCACCTCATTGCAGGGCAACACCTAATGAACGTGCGTGTGATCTTCCTCGTACCACACCATTACACTCTAGGCCGTGAAACCGCCTCCAAACAGCAGGTCTCAGCTACCGTTCTCCTTTACACTTCCTCTGTATTTAATCGGTGTTCATTTAGATGGCACTGACGACACCCACCTCACTCTGTTCTTGAAACACACAGACAGCTTCCCGCTCCCTGTGGGGTACATACTGGCTTGTCTGTTGATAGCTCCCAGTTTCAGGGGCTGGAAGCCTGGCAGTGGATTTTGTTTAATATAGCCCTATTGATATTCCAGAAAGAAAGAACAGGCATGGCTGTGCAGGCTGTGTGGTAGAATGAAGCTGGGCAGCAGCTTTCAGGATCCTGCAAGATTCCTGGACTCTAGGCTCACTGGATGAAGGTTTTAAAATCTGGTCTTAAAAAGTGTACTCTCCGTGGCAATGCCTCCACCCTCAGACAATAGGAAGACTCTCCTGGAAGCTGAAACCACCAAACTGAACTTCCAGGCCACTTAGTCTACTGTCTCCTTTGCTCGTTTTCTTCTTTTGCACTTTGTACTTTAAATGTCCCCAGAGACTATGTGCTAAAGGCTTGGTCCCAGTCTGTAGTGTTACTGGGAGATGTGGAACCACTCAGGAGCTGGGCCTGCTAGAAACAAATTAGGTCACTGGAGTGTGGCCCTGGAAGGGAACTTTGGGACCCTGGCCTGCCTCTTCTCTACACCTCTTTTTGTCACTGTGAAATAAAGCAGCGTTGCCCCACCACGTGTTTCTGCTATGACATCCTGCCTCACTGTACACCTGCAGCAATGGGTCAACCAATCACGTGCTGAAACCCTGAAACCTATGCAGAAATAAACCTTCTCTCTGTTAAGTTGTTTCACCTCAGGGATTTTGACATAGCAAAAAAGTTTTTAAAGGCTCATCTCCTCATTCTCCTGAATCATCTCAGAATTTCTTTGTTTACACATAATTATTTAGTGTATAGTGTGTGTGTGTGTGTGTGTGTATGTGTGTGTGTGTGTGTGTGCACACACACACAAGCATACATGCCACAGTATGCTTGTGGTCAGAAAACAACTTGTGGGAGTCAATGCTCTCCTTCCACGTGGGTTCTGAGGCTGTACTCAGGTTGTCGGGCTTGGGGGCAAGGACTCTGCCCTGCTGAGCAACCAGGCCCATTTCAACTTCTGGTTTTCTAGTCTCAGCTTTTTCTCCTGTTTGCTCAAATTCTTAGGAAACATTAGTTTCAGAACTTAGCAAATTTCCCCCAAGAGTTAATTTCTCTTTCTTTTTAAAATTTAAAATTATTAGTAGTATTTTAATTAACTAATTTAAATAATAACTGAATATTGATGATTAATATACATTTTTTGGCAGTACCTCACATATACTAGGGAAGTGCTCAGACACTACACTACTCTGTCCAGAAAGCTAATGTCTTCATCTGGAAATGGGAATATCACCACCTGTCTCACAGAGCATCATAAGAACTTGAGTACCATGTATCTATCAGTTATTAGGATACCTGGAGAATACCACTCAACACTTGTCAGTCCTTCCTTCTCTCCCCTTCAAGGGCATGCACAGTGGCACTGCCTGGAACTGCTGCATTACAGATACTTAAAAAAAGTGTTGAATATAAATACACTGTGTATCTCTATATATGTATACATATATAGGAAGAGACACAAAAATAAAAAATAAATATTTCCTTAATATCTGGCCAACTATTTATTTTTGAGAATTTCATACACAGGCAGTGTATTTACATCATTTCTACTCTTCCTTCTCACCTCCAACTCTTCCCATGTTCACCCCAACTCTCTTAAAGTCATGGCCTATTCCCCTATAATTATTGTTATATGACACAGACACAGACATACAGACTCAGACACACAGAAACACACACACACACACACACCCTCCCTACTGGGTCCATTTGGTATGGCTCCTACATATGTGTTTATGTCTGACCAGTTGTGGCTGAATGACTCTCAGGGACTTGCCTGGAAGCAGAGTTTAGGTGACCATATTGTTGCGGTGTCACAGGTAGAGTTTCCCTGTTGAGTCTATTATCTAGCAGCAGGCCTTCGGGTTCTCTGATGGGCAGCTATTTTAAATTGGGCATTCAGATAAATAAGGAACATATAAATAAAAATTAAGAACTTTTGCTATTTTCAAGCTTTGTCTTTCTTCCTGTATCTGCTATTATTATTATTATTATTATTATTATTATTATTATTATTATTTTGCTGGTGTAGAGACTGAGTCTAGGGCTCCATGTACACTAGAAAAGCTCTACTCATGAGCTACATCACCTACCCTCTTTTCACTTATTTTGGGACAATGTCTCACTAAGTTACTCAGGCTAGCTTTGAACTTATTCCGTAGATCAGACAAGTCTTGAACTTTCGACTTTCCTGCCCAACCTGATAAACAGCCAAGATCACAGATCTGCACCTCCAGTCTTGGCTTAAATTTTTGTTATTTATCATGCTCTCCAGATAAGATAATCTCAGCTCTCCTCTCAGCTCTCTCAGCAACTCCTATGGAAACGATTACACATGTCTTTTATAAGCCTATCTGAAGCTGCTTCTCTGTTCATTTCCTAGTATGTTCTCTGGCTTACCACAGCACTCATTCTAATGTTGATTTTGACAGAAGCAAATACAAAATCTGTATCAGACTTGCATCAGTATTCTATGAAGAGGCCACATCAATGTTCAGATGCCTAGAAACCACAGATGTTCTATCCGTCCCTCAATCTATCAACCTACCTGTATTTATAACATAAATATTCCTAGACATTCTGGTCATGGCTTTTCCCAGATACAGAAATATGTGAAACAAAACAAAAACAAATAAAGCCCCCCACTTTCACAGGTGGTCTAGCCTGAGACTAGACAGAGGGGAATGCTGGGCTGTTTCTTTTAGAAAAGGGACATGCAGATGTTCACATCTGTAATCTAATCATGGCTTTAGATCTGACAGACAATTTCTAGGCTAAGGAAGGAGACCCATCTTGAAGTAGATGATTGCCTGGTTTTATAGAAAAGCATTTTAATCTGTTCACCTGAACAAAGAGTCTCTAAAAATCAGAATGGGATGGAAGAGCTTTACCACTAGCGCCCAGCCTCCTTTCTGAAGCTGAGAGAAGCACTGTTCTAACAACTGCTGAGATCTGTAAAAGTTAAGGAGGACCGCTACAGAATGGCAAAGAATGCCTACCCTGGAAACACTTAGGACTCTTATGAGTGAATCCTGCTGATGTTGGAGACAGAGAAGAAGCCAGCAGGAAACCCTCAGGGATACCTGCCACATCTGAACCACTGTCAGTTTTGTGTACAATACTTGGACATCTGCAACCCCAGACCTGACTCTAAAAATGGTGGCATGTAAAACATGCTTTGAGCACTTAGAAATCTACTTCACTGATGTCACCCTTCTAACAGTGTTCTCTTGTATCTAAAAATCGTAACTTCCTATAGTACTTCATCATGGATTGAAACCATGTAAGACTTCTCCCATTCATGCTGGTATGCCATCCAGTGTTGTCATTGTGTAGGTCTTATTAAGATGACCATATTGTTTCAACCATGTGCTTTCAGTCCTATGTCATTTGCTCAATAACTCCCAGAGGTTCCCTGTTCATCTAACTTGCAAATAAAAGGGCTGCTTTATATATATGTACATATGTATGTATGTATGTATGTATATATATGTACATATATTATCATTTTGCTAATTAGACTTTGGGCAATTGATAAAAATATATCTCAGTTGCCTCTTATTACAATTTTAATTTTCACAGCTTGAGTTACCTAGAACCAATTATGGTCTAAAAACATACATGAAAAGTCCCAGAAATAAGCAATGTTTTAATATGCACATCACTGTTTTAATATGCGCCTCATTGTAAGCAATGCATCAACCTTGCCCTGCCTGTCATTCATCAGCACTTCCATGATGACTATGCACCTTGACAGGCACATGAGCTCTCATATCAGTGGGTGTAGCCTCGCAGGGACTTACTGACATCATGCTGCTCCCAAAGCACACACAGTGATGCTGGCAATCCAGATACACGGAAGGGAAGCGGTGAAAAGATGAGTGATGCCAACTTAAGGAAAAGGAAGCAACTGTGTGCTATGACTGCTAACATCTATAGTAAGAACTAATCTGTCTGAGAAATCACAAAAAGGAAAGAATCAAGTTCCTGTTAATTCTACCAAACTAAAAAGCAAGGTAAGCACTTACTCCCTCTCCTTCAGCCCGATGACATCATCTAACAGCAGGAGAAGCAAGGCAGGCACAGCACAGTAAAATAAACTTAGCATTGGGCCTGGGCACAGCCTCTAATTCCAGCTGCCTAGAGGCTGAGGCAAGAGGAAAACATTTGAAGGCTGTATGAATTCACACAGAGTGAACTCAAGGCTGGTCTGAACAACTTAAGTAGACTCCGTCTTCGAAGCCAAAACACAAATGTGCCACAGTGGTAGAGCGCTTGCTGAGCAAGTGCAAGGCCTGAGGTTCAATCCCCATTACACAAAACAAAACAAAACAAAACAAAACAGATACATGTAGAGAACATCCACTCACGTGACGGCCACACCAGATGAGCACTGTACCTGTTCTTGCCTCCTGTCGTCCCTTCCTCCTTGTCTCTTCTCTCTCTCCCTTCCCTTTCCATCTCTTCTCCTCTTTTGCTTCCTGGCCACAAGAAGCAGTTTGGGCTCTTAGTTATTTTCTGTCACTGCCATCCAGCAGCCTTTCATAGACCCAACTTGACAAACCTTCCTGACCTTAGACTGGAAGCACTTTCTGGACTCAGACCCTGGCTCCAAACCTTACTAGCTAGCATGACCTTAGATCTGCTGCTGACCACCCTGAGACCCTGCTATGCCTCTTGATGAACAGAGGTAACAATGATTCATTTTACAGGGCTGTTATCAGGTTAGCACACAGAGAAGACTTCCTAAGGTCTCTAACAGATAGAAGGTACTCTGCACTAGCTCTGAATGGCACTCGTGAGCGAGTCACTGAAAGACATACACTCCGTGTGTTGTGCCAACTGTTGTGTATCTGATCCTTGTTGTACCCCTCCTCCACAAGGCAAACCTTTTCCTGAGAGTTAAAAATACTCATGGGGCACATGCCTGTGATTCCAGCACTCAGGAGCCTGAGGATTACAAGTTCACAGGGAGACTCTGCCATGAGCAAACAAACAGACATTCACACACAGCCTCTCTCTTGTCACAGTGAGAGTGCAGGCGCCCAGGGCTGGTGGCCCTCCTTACTTGTAGCACAGAATGTCTGCCGCCTGGAGTACGGGGTATGTGAGCAGGCCTACTGTCCCATCATACTTCTGCTTCGCAGCCTTTACCTGTGGACACGAGGAGAGAAGAGAAAGGCATCTGACTTCAACCTGATTATATTGCTCAATTAAGAAACTTTTAAAGCAAGTCAAGTGTGCTCCTGAGCCACCTGAAATAACATCTATTCCGTCCCTTTCAGCGGCTCTAATGTCGGCCGCTTATCATGTTCATTCGGAAGTGAGAGGGATCTTTTTTACCATTTCCATGGTGTTTTATTTTATTTTGGGAGCTGGGGCCTCCTTTGTGCAAAGCCCACCCAAGCTCTACCTCTGAGCTACACACATGGTCCCTTGCCTCGGCGTGAGTCTCATACCACCTCAATTTCTCCTTCATTTCATGAAGGAGAAAGGAGTTTTCTACATTCCGAATCAGTTCAGAAATTATTACAAAATTAAGTTTCTCAAAAACACTTACCACAAAGTTACTGAGTAAAGGTCATCAAAGATTAATTTAGAGAAGAGTTTGGAAAAAGAAACAGAACCTCATTTTTGGAAAGCTGCTACCAGGGTGGGCAAGACAGCTCATTGATTAAAGGTGCCTGACACAAAGCCTGAGTTCAATCCCCAGGACTCAGATTCTGGAAACAGAACTGACTACAGCAAGCTGTCCTTTGCTCTCCACATGCCACTGGTCACCCGCCTCCACTATGCATGATGCATGAAATGTAAGACAGACAGATGGAAAAGGAAAGCCATGCTGCATTAATTTAAAAAATTATTCTTGTATTTTTAATTTCATGTGCATTGGTGTTTTGCCTTCATGTATGTCTCCGTTGAGGATGTCAGATTCCCTGGAGTTACAGACAATTGTGAGCTGCCATGTGGGTGCTGGGAACTGAACCACTGGGCTTCTGAAAGCTCAGCCAGTGCTTTTACCCACTGAGCCATCTCTCCAGCCCCAGTGTTGCAATAAATTCACAGGTAAATTTTATTTGTTTAGTGTGTGTGTGTGTGTTCTTGCACTTGTGCATGTGCATAAGGGAAGGCACACAAAGCTTGGATGGAGAGGTCAGAGAACAAATTGTGGAGAGTCAGTTCTCTCCTTCCACAGTGGTTTTTGGGAATTGAATATAGGTCCTCAGGCCAGTGCTGAGTCATCTTTCTGTCTAATTTGTAAATTTATCATCATCATCATCATCATCACTACTATTAGTACTTATGTGCATGTGTATGTCTGTGTGTGTGTAAGTCACATGTGCGTAGGTGCCTACATAAGTCAGAAGAGGGTGTAGGATCCCTGAAAGTTGATGTTCCAGGCTATTGGGAGCCACCCAATGTAGATGCTGGAAGAGTAAGAAACATTTGTAACTCCCAAGCCATCTTTCCAGTCCTGAGTTTTTTATATCAGCAACTGGTCCTTGAAACTACAAAGGAAGTGCTGTGAAGTAGAGAACACTAGTGTTTCCTGAGTGCTGGTAGCTCGTTCTAGGTGCTTTCCCCATCAATCCTGCAGCTGACCTCAGCAACACTGACCAGACCTTTACATCACTCCTGCTGTGCTCACTGTCCCAGTCAGAACAGCTCTTAGCTTATCTTCCCAGGACACTGAAATTCTCTTCATTAGTAGGTTCAACCAGGAATTAGTGGTATAATGTTATACTAACAATAAAGTCTTGCCTAAAATTAAAATGTTAGAGAACATTATAAATATAAAACATTGATTCCAGTTCCCGGCATAAAGTCAATCTGCAGCATCAGCATCTGAATGATTTAATGTCAGCTCTCTGAACATCTACAAGACAGCCATTTCTGCTGTGAACAACAGACAAATGGAGCCAGGGGGCATAGGATTATGGAAAAGCCTGGGGCTAGGGAAGAGACTTCAACGTCAACCCTGTACCCGCAGCTCACCTCCAAGACTGATCTATGGTGCCTCCTTCAGTGTCCTTAGTGTGAGAGGTGACATGGCTTGTTTTATAAGAACAACAATCCCGTTTAGTGAGAGACCTACCCTTCTTATCTAAAGGCCCAGCTGTTGGGGGTTGGGTTTTAAGGTAAGGATCTGGGACAGAGGCACAAACTCAGACCACAAGGTTTGGACACGATCACATCAGGGGAGCTGCTTTCTGCAGTTTAGGGGATGGCTTCTGAAGACCAATTTTTGAGGAAACTAATGGCCCTGAAAATATGCTCAAAAGAAACTGAAACTAAACATTAGCGTTGACATAACTGGGCTACCTACCTCTAGATACCCAATTGCAAAAGTCAGCGGCAGGAAAGCACTATGAATGATTTAACTTACCTTTCTTAGTAGAATTTCTTACAAGAAAGACAGCTTTTTTTTTCCCCCTTGTAGGTTTGAACTGTTGCCTAGGCTTAACTTGTTTAAATGTTAAATGAAATATGTTGTCTCTTGTTTCCACCATGAAAATATTCTTAATTTCAGGGGGAATGGGAGGCAATATCAGGGACCAGTATCCTAGAGATTCTGATTGTTTGTAATTATAATGCAGTAGGTTCAAAGTCATTACCAATCCTATCAAAATACAGATAAAACAAATGACAATAAAATTCTGAAGTCAGAAAGGGTCCTGGTAGACCTTTCCATTTTCTCCTTGATACTGACACAGAACAGGGAACAATGCAGCACCAGCAAACAGTGGGTGGCCAACCAAGGCAGTGAACAAACTCAGGACTCCCAGCACCCAGCACAGCACAAATGAAAGCCTTCCTTCCCATCGACACTCATGTTCTGGCATTTACCTTCCACTGGTGTAAATGCTGTAATCGAGGCAGTCTCACCATGCAGGTGAGGACCCAACTTAACTGAGTATGTTCAGACACCTAAAAAAGAAAGAGAGAAAGGTGACCAGTGTCTTTTTGCATCTAAGCAGTACTAACAGACAACAGGCTGAAATTGTTGAAAATAACCCATGTCAAGGTTATTAAATGGAAACAGGTAAAGGGCTGGACCATGATTCCCAATGCACAGAAAAGGATAACTAAGAAGTTACTAAAAAACAAAACAAAGCAAAACCCAACTAATACAAATAGCAGATTATTGTTTAAGCCTTGACATCCCTAGTGAGGAGGAAGCCATAGCGCTTTAATAACTTCAGTGTGAATTCCACCACATCCTGGAGCATCCAACCCCTTGATTTTGTTTGGTTTCTTGTTTTTCAAGACAGGGTTTCTCTGAGCATCCTTGGCTGTATTGGAACTAACTTTGTAGACTCAGCTGGCCTAGAACCCAGAAATCAGCCTGCCTCTGCCTCCTGAGTGCTGGAATTAAAGGTGTGTGCCACCTCTGCCCAGTTCATCCATCCCCTTGAAATCAATAAATCTATCAAGTTTCCTCTCCTGTCCTCTCCTCCACCCCCCCACCCCCCATCTAAAGTTCTCTCTGACCCTTAAATCCATGACCATAACCACAATACTGTTCCTTAGATGGTAAAGAAAGGCACCCAGCTCCAGTGGAAAGACTTGGCCTTTTCAGATCGTCAGCGGTGAGAAAGTGGATCTCCTGCACCACTTGTCCTCCAAAGGAGAGTCTTAAAGATCCTAGCTCCTCCTCTCTTGACTGCTTCTCCACCTTCATTGTTTTTCCTCTCGTTTCTTCTGCCCCCCTACCATTAATCAACAAAAAGATACAAAATCTCTTCAACCTAGTTTTGTTTGAATGAAGTTTAATCAAGTAAGCAGAATCTGGCAACGATTGGGATGATTCTTGGGCCCAGGCCATATTCTAACTGATGACCTAGATTGTGAGCCCTAAGCATCCCATTTCTGGGCCCTGGGGATTCGGAGTCTATTGATTGTGGCATTCTGTGTCCATATGATTCCCTTAAAAAGCAGAGACTCTTGCCAACTCTGCAAAGTGGCCCCAAATGTGTTCTCTGTGGGTTTCGCAAAGGGAACATAAAGGCCTGAGGATGAACCAGCCCAGGCCTGATTCCCTAGCAAGGATTCACAAGCACTCCAACATCTGGAGTAAGATAGTTTCTCTTTTTTTCTTCTCAAGTTATATAGAAAGAAGAGTTGTTTTTCACGTGCTTGACAAGGACTTGCTTTTAAAGTTTTGCAAGTCGCTGGATGGAGTCTGTCATCTTTCTTCTAAGAGGCCTTTGGGTTTCAGTGAAGGCAGTGGCAATGACAGGACTGTCCAGGAAAATTGCTAACTACTGCAGAAAACAAACAGCTATTCAATGCAAACAGTAACCCAGAAAGTAGCTGAGGGGATGAGAGTTGCTCCCAGTCACCAGGATAAACATGGTCCCATTCGAATGCAGCTGACACCCACTAGCTTTAGGCATGAAAAGGGTGAGAGAATCCTTTTCCTCTTTATTGAACGGAGGAAATGCAGCAAGTGACTGTGGACATGTGGACAGAGGCAAGACATCTTCCCCTTCAATGCAGGGTCCAACGCTTAGCCTTGGTGACATGATAAAAACCTAACAACTGTGTCCCCATGAATGAAAGTATTTTGCTTGGGGTAGCTTTTTGTTTGGCCATATGGGATGAGAATTATTTAATATTTACCAGAGATTTTTATGTTTGAAATTAGCATTAAATTAATTCAAATCAATTCTAGTAGAGAAAGTAGGTAAAGGTCAAAGCCATTTAACTTTTTGATATTCATCTTCAATAATTATATGAGAAACAATAGAAATAATTGTCATTGTCAAGATGATCACACGGAAGGGCACATATTTCTATTTGAAGGAAAAGAAAAAGTGATAAATACCTAAATATATTATTTTCCTATATTGCAAAGCCACAAACCAAACAACTATATGATCTATTTTAGCTATAGACACACAAAGGTTCAGTACAGCAATTGGCCTATCAGCCTTCCACAGACAAGTTGGCAGCTGTCTACAAAACAAGACACAAGCCTTCTTCAGTCACTGTAGTGTGCCGGCCTTGTTCATCCCTGTAAAACCCAGGCTGGTGCACCGTATGTACAAGGTACTATGAACTTCACCGGAAGCTGCAGAGGGAACAGACTTACAAAGTAACTTGCTGATGCAGACAAAAACAATTCTATGGTGATTGCAGTGGAAGCTGACTCATACTAGGCAAAGGGTAAGGCTACCAGGCAGGATGTGAAGACAGACAGAAAGGCAGTGAGACTTAAAGCTTTGTCTTGAGAGCACAGGTATTTTTATACCCTTGACAAAAGCACAGTCCTCTTCTAAGGGGGGAGGCTGCCCTCTTAGACTGGGTGTAGGACTTGAGGGAAGGAGGAATGGGATCCCTGCCCAGCCAGCCAGAACACCTCACATCCAAGAGCTGCATCTTTTGGATGAGCTGAGCTGGGTCTGATTCCTAGCTCTACTACTCAGCTACTCTGGGGGAGCTAAGTCACCTCCTTGTGCCCCACTTTCACTATCTATGAAGTGAGGTTCCCTAGAACAGGACCTAGCACAACATCAGTTATTATTACTATAGATACTATAACAATACACTTCCTTATCCCATACTGTCACCCCTGGGCCAAACCTCACCACCCCGACTCCGTCTTTGCACTTAGAATCTAGAAAGCTGGCCTTTGTATGTTTCCCAAACTCACAGGGACACTCACTTCAGAAGCTTCACACTGGCTCTTTTCTCTGATGGAAAGTCTCCTCCCTTATTTCACCTTAAGTCTGCTCAGCCTTTACCTCATAAAGCTTACTAGATCTCACCATCAGAAACAGCCATCTGTTCCCTCAATTCATTGCTGATTTTACTTGATTCTTTTTTTTTTTATGCCACTTATTGCCTATGATGGTCTGAATGAAAATGGCCTCCATAGGCTCATAGGGATTGGGATGTGTGGCTCTGCGGGAGGAAATGTCAGTAGGAAGTTTCAAAAGGCTCACCCCATTCCCAGTGTGCTGTCAGCCTCCTGCTTGTAGGTCAAGATGTGAGCTCTCAGCTATTACTCCCGCCATGCCTTTGCTCACCGCCATGAACACTTAACTCTCTGAACCCGTAAACCTAATTAAACACTTTCTTTTATAAGTTGCCTTGGATGTGGTGTTTTGTCACGGCAATAGGAAAGTAATGAAGACAGCTTCTAATAGAATTTATTGTTTGCTTATATACTATTATTAGTATTTATTTTGCTAATTGAACAGAAATTAATAATTTTTAATTTGAATCATTCAGTGGCACAGCATAAGCACTTTGGATATAAAAAGTTTTCATTATGCTCCTGTAAAATTTATGGAGAGGATTAAAGTCACATAGAGAGATGACAAAATAAGTGTGGCAATACAATGACATATGTGACCGACCGACACAGTTAATTTCAACTGTCAACTTGGTTTGATTGGGCATTAGTGAGGCGTAGTAACAGGCATGCTTGCGAGCAGTTTTCCACGATGATTAACTGAGGAGGGAAGCCTCAACTCCGAATGCAGGCAGCACCAGCTGAGGTCTGAGGATCCAGACGGTAACCATGGGAACAGTGGAGTACTGGCTTCCTCTCTATGCTTCTGATCTACTGAGATGTGAGCACACAGCCTCGTTTCCCCACTGTCAGAGAAGAACGCCACCCAGCCATCCTGCTATCCCTGCCATGGTGCACTGTGCTCTCAAACTGGGAGCCATAACATACCCTTCCTTCCCTAAGTTGCTTCTTTTCAAGTATTTTCACAGCCATGAGGAATGCAATGAGTACAGTGGTATAACAATATTCTGATCTATAAATACAGATCATAGAAATATCCCGTTCTGCCAGGCATGGTGGTGCATGCCTTTGCTCCCAGTTCTTGGGAAGCAGAGGCAGGTGAATCTCTGTGAGTTCCAGGCCAAAGAGTGCTACAGAGTGAGACCCTGTCACAAACAACTTCCCCCAATTCAAATTACTCCAGACCAAAACCACACACACTTTTCTGTGAAAAAAAAAATTGTGAAAGGTACCACAATATATATGTTTGCAAAATGTTCTAAAGTTACAAAACCAAACAACATTATGTATCCTCAGTGAAGTAAAAACTGTAAGTTTGTGGGAAACTAGTATCAGAAGTACGACTGATCATATGAAGTTTATGATTGTGGCTGTCTATGGTGAAAGGAAACGGATTTGAGGAGGAGGGATGAAAGGGATATACAAGGAAGGATTAAAAAAGCTCAACTTTATCCACGACTGTAAAAGTTTATGGGGTTGGAGAGATGACGCACTGGCTGCTCTTCCAGAGGACCTGGGTTCAATTCCCAGGACCCACATGGTGACTAAAATCCATCTGTAACTCCAGTTCCAGGAAATTCTACATCTTCTGGCACAATACATGCAAGTGGTGCACAGACATTCATACAAGCTAAGCACACATACTCATAAAATAAAAAAAAAGTTTATGGTGTGCACATGTGTGTGTACAAAGCTTACATACCAGTATTGATAAAAATTAACATATTATTGAGTATTCATAGTAACTCAATCAAAACACATTTTCCCCAAAACTTTCAAGTATCATTTACCTATTAACAACCTCAGGTAATATAGTGCAACAAAAAGCAAAGCACTGAAACACTTAGATGAACATTTATCCAATAAAAATAAAGGTTTGGCCCTAGCCTTTTAATTACTTGGAGGTAAGATTACATACTCAAATATATATAAACTAGTGTCAAATTCCTTTAAAATTTCATAAATTTTAAGGAGTGTGGATCAAGCACATTTTAAAAAGCATGTGTGTGTGTACACAAGTGTGTATGTATGTGCACGTGTGTATGAGTATATTTGTGTGTATATATGTATGTATGAGTGTATGTGCATGTCTGTGTATGAGTGTGTATGCGTGAGTGTGTGTGTATGTGTGTATGAGTGCATGTGCGTGTATGTGTGTGTATAAGTG